AAATTTTGCAACTGAAGGGCTTAAATGAGAACAATATTATTTTTATATAAGTAGTAGGGGAATGTCTTCTTTGTGGATCGGGTCCATGAAAAGAACATTTTTCTTATTTTTATGAAAAATTGTGTTAGAAAAAATCTTAAAAATTTCGTAGTCATCTTTTCGAAGATTAAAGAACTTGACAATAATAATTTTTTCCTGGACAATATAATTTTTCTTGTTACTTATATATTCATTATCAACAATGAAAAAATCTAATTTACAATTATTCTAATATTGAAAATAATTTTAATTTAATATCAATGTATATCAATGTATGTATATTATGTATATTGATTTTATTTCCAAGAGTAGAAACCTTTTGTATCCATGAGTAGGACACATAAATATAATAATATCAAGGGTCAGACTATTATATTTCGAATAAAGTCGTTGCGAACTAATTTTTAAAAAATTGATTCTTTTAGAAATGAATCTGTATGATCTCTGGAGAACGAAATGAAAAGAAATGTGTTAAAATATTTATTACTTTCTTTAAAATACAAAAAGTGTCATTATTTTAGAAATTAAAAAAAAAATTAAAAAATTAAATTCTTAAAAGTGCCAAAATAATTATTTATTCATGTTTCAAATTAGTTGATTAATTATTTTTTAATAATAAAACTAGTAAAAAATGAAAATAATAGATAAAATATGTTTTTAAAGTAAGTCTGTCAAAAAACCAAATTTTGGCGTTTTTATCAATTAATGACAAGAAGATGGAATTATTAAATTAAATAAAAACTCGCGGAATATAGATTATTTTTGATAAACTTTTAAGTTCTCTTTTAACTTTCTTAATTTTTTCTTTAAATATACATGATATATTGAGTTGAAACTACGCGATTTCTGAATATTGTTGCGTACTTTACAACTTAATATCTCAGTTAATGAAAATTGAAAAAAATTTGTCACTTTCACAACTTCTGAATCACACCGAATTCACACACATCGAAATTTTCGTTTTGGTCCCGGATCTATTTTAAAATATACAAAATTCAACAAATCTACACTTTATCAGGTTAAAACTGTTTATTTTCTTTCAATTGAAGTTGATTTTTAATTTAAACACTGAGATTCATAATTTTTATAATGTTTATATTATTCATAATGTTTATTTTCTTTCAATTGAAGTTGATTTTTAATTTAAACACTGAGATTCATAAAAAGAAAACATCTTCAATTAAAAGAAAATAAACAATTTTAACCTGATAAAGTGTGAAAATTTTAAACCATTATATCTTTTAAAATAGGTCCGGAACCAAAACGAAAATTTCGATGTTTGTAGAATTCGGTGTGATTCAGAAGTTGTGAAAGTGACAAATTTTTTTCAATTTTCATTAACTGAGATATTAAGTTGTAAAGTACGCAACAATATTCAGAAATAGCGTAGTTTCAACTCAATATATCTTGTATATTTAAAGAAAAAATTAAGAATGTTAGAAGAAAACCTAAAAGTTCATAAAAAATAATCTATATTCGGTAAGTTTTTATTTAATTTAATAATTCTATCTTCTTGTCATTAATTGATAAAAACGTCAAAATTAGATTATTTGACGTACCTACTTTGAAAACATTATATTTTATCTATTATTTTCATTTTTTTCACTAGCTTTAGGGTCATTCCATTATATTTCGACTAAAGTCGTGGCCGACTAATTTTAAAAAAATATAATATTTTGCAGGAATAATTTTAAAGGCATTAGAATCAATGAACAAAAAGAATTTTTTAAATATTTTTAATATTTAGTGTAAAATAAGCATCTAAAGTATATGAGATATCAAAAATTGTCACTTTTTCATCTATTAGAAAATATTAAAGGAATCATATAATTTACTATGAAAATGTAAAACAATTATTGGAATTTATTAAGAATGACTTAATTTATTATTATAAATTGATAGTAATAATTAGTTATAAGAAATATAAAATGAAAAATGATTTTAAAGTTCACCTGTCAAATAACCTCATTTTGCAAATTTCATCCACTAAATGTGAGAAAGAGAAGTCATTAAATTGAATAAAACCTTTCCAAATATAAAGTTCTTGTGATTAAGATTTAGTTTTTCTTAGCACTTTTTTCCTTGGTCCCGAAGCTACTTTTCGAGAAAATGATTTTTAAACGTTACACTTTTTTTATAAGGTTAATACATGTGATTTTTAAAAGAAGAAGTTAGGTTTTCTTGGTTAATTAATTTGAACCAACTTCAGTTTTAAACAAATCACATGTATATTAACCTGATAAAAATAGTGTAAAGTTTAAAAATCATTTTCTCGAAAAGTAGCTTGGGAGCCAAGACGATTTTTTTTCCAGTGTCTGTATTTAGTGATCAATAATAAAAATTGTTTTCCAAGAAAGTTATTTACATTCAAAAATCGTGAAAATAAGCAAAGTGCCAATTTTAATTGTCTGTTCATTCACGTTTATAAAGAAACAGGAAAAAAGTGCTAAGAAAAACTAAATGTTAATCACAGGAACTTTATATTTGGAAAGGTTTTATTCAATTTAATGACTTCTGTTTCTTACATTTACTGGATGAAATTTGCAAAATAAGGTTATTTGACTGGTGAACTTTAAAATAATTTTTCATTTAATATTTCTTATAATTAATTGTTTCTATGAATTTATAATAATAAATTAAATTATTCTTAACCCTCCATCCGTCGCATCTTTTTTTGTAACGCGATCCGTCGCAGGTGAGGAAAATTTTCACCCTCATAAATTAGTCCAAACTTGTAAAATGCCAAATTTTTTTTTTGAATGTTCATTAAATGTTCATTCATGTTCATTAAAATATAAAAAAACAAAAAAATTGTTTCAATGTAAAGAAGAAGAGTTCTGTTAAAGGTACTACTGAGAATATGAAATTATAATTTTTTGTATTTTAAAAGTTATAAATAAAAAAAGAAACTAGGTGAGGAAACTTCTCACCATGCGACGAATGGAGGGTTAATAAATTCCAATAATTTTTTTACATTTTCATAGTAAATTATATGATTTCTTTAATATTATCTAATAGATGAAAAAGTGCCAATTTTTGAGACCTCACATACTTTAGATGCTTATTTTACAATAAATATTAAAAATATTAAAAATTTTTTTTTTGTTTAGTGATCCTAATACCTTTAAAATAATTCCTGCAGAATATTACAATTTTTTGAAATTAGTCGGCTTTTCGTTTTGAGTTTCTTTTTCTTTTGACTGTCGCTCTTTTCCCTCCCTACCTCGACTGTGATAACCAGACTCCGATTGCACTTGAAATTTGATTCATTCTTTTTTTAATCACAATTTTTAACAAAATTATAATTTTTTTAAAAATAAATAAAAAAATACATAATTTCTATTTTATAATCAAAATGTTTGTACAAAATTCTCATTTTTTCTTTTTGAAAAAAATAAATAAAAAAAAATTTAATAAATTTTAAAATTAAAAATATTGAAAATTCATTAAATTTTAAGTTTGAAAATATTATTAAATTCATAATTGGTTTTGAAATTAAGAAAATTGTCAAATTAATTTTCAAAAATAAAAAAATTATCAAATTCAATAAAATTTAAAATTAAAAAAATTGTTAAATTCAATAAATTAAAAAATTAAGAAAAATGTCAAAATCAATAAACTTTAGAATTAATTTAATTTAATATTTTTACACTTATTTCCTGGTTCTCTATTAAGAAAGGATAATTTTAAATAACGTGAAAATGTCTTATACAAAAAATTTATTTCCAGATAAAATTTTTTTTTATCCTTTTGTATATCTGCTTTTCTATGACAATAAATGAAAATTTAGCCACACAAAAATAATTTTGGTGTGGATCTGGGGGTTTGATTATGCTCAATGGGTAATTGCCAACCGTTACGATTGGGTTAATGATGGGCCATGCTTGGTACCCAATCGTTTTTTCTTGTCAAAAATATTGGCAATCAACACAATATTAATTCCAGGTTTTTGAAAAATACCGTTAGAAATTTTAAAAAAGCTTCTATTAAAATAATATTATAAAATTAATTATTTGTAAGTAATTAAATGACAATTTTACAATTATCATAATATTATGCAATAGTAATATATATATTTGCAAGGTTGTTTTTACAAAGCTTGGATTTGTTGAATTAACTCAGATTTACCATAAGTTCCTGATTTTTTTTTAATGAAAATAGATTCTATAACTCTTCTTGTAAACAAGCAACCATCTCTACCTAAAATTTTAATATTGTTATTCCAACATTACGTTCAGCAATTTCACAGCTGCGCTTGTGTTCATAAACCCTAGATTTTAATTTTCTTCAAGTCTCACCAATGGAAATTTTATTGCAGTACAGTTAATCTGATAAACTACTCCTGAAATATATTCTTGTTTCTATTGATAAACATATTTTCTAGTTTATGATCATTTGGGAGTTTAAGTTTATGTTAAAACTTCCTTAAAACGTTTTAACATAAATTTAAACTTCCAAATGATCATAAACTAGAAAATATGTTTATCAATAGAAGGGAAATATTTCAACTAAATTTATTAATATTGAATTTTTTTAGGCCTATTTTCACTATTTTAAAAATGATGAATTCTTTCTTTAATAGTAGATTTAATTACATATTTATTTAACAATAAGGTGTTTTTAACTAATTTAATATTTCAATATTCGATCTTTGCTAACCGTCTGGTATTACACTCCAACGCCGGTTTAGCGGACTGTCTGCGGAGTCGTCCGTTAAAGCGAACAATAGCTTAATAATACTTTGAACGAGGCAAGAGAAAGAAAATCGTAAATCACAACCCAAAAAGTCCTCTAAACCGGCGTTGGAGTGTACTTTTTAATTGAAAAATACTATTTAGCATTTAATGAAAACAAAAAATAAATATTTCTTAAAATAACAAATTGTTTTAAAAAATAAGAATACAGTTTTCTAAAAATAATAATTGTGTATTTTAAATATTGATATCAACATTTCTTTGCAGCTCGTGTTATCGTGCGAAACCAAGGTTGACAGGTACAACAGGTGCAGGAGGTGTCTCAACAGTGGGTGCTGGCGGTGGAAGAAGAACATACACCGAGGAGGAGTTACAAGCAGCCCTGAGGGATATACAGAGTGGAAAACTAGGGACCCGTAGGGCAGCTGTGATCTATGGAATACCGAGGAGTACTCTGCGCAACAAGGTCTACAAACTTGCGATGGAACGCGAAAGAGACGCGTCCCTGTCAAACACCATTTCACACTCTCATGAGTCTGGCGTTCCAGCTACAATCACAATTACCACCACCACAACAACAACTACAACATCAAATTCAACCCAAAATGCCTCTACAACCACCCCGCCTTCACAAGTGGATGAGGTTAGTTTTTGGGGAAAAAAATGTTTCATGTAATAAGTAAAGAATTTACGTACTAATTAAAAACAATTATACATTACTATTTAGTGAAACCCGTTGAAACTACATGATGCAAACTTCATTATAACTCAATTTTCGCGAGTAAAATATTTAAAAATCAAATAAGTATTCTTTAAAAGTAAATTTTTATTAAATAATTTAATAGAAATGCAAGAAAAATAAAAAAATTTCTTAACCCTAGAAAGAGTAACTGGGGTGTCTAGACACCCCACGTAATATTCAAAATACGTCTCTAACTTAGAAAATTATTTTTTCGCTTTTAAACCTTAACCATTATTCAAAATTTTTTTTTAATTTATCAAAAAATGAATACAACCATTGTTTTCCTGACTAAAAAACCAATAAAATCCACTATCTTTAATTGACTTTACGTCAAATAGAAACCTTTTAAAATAAGTCTGAAGTTTGGGGTGTCTAGACACCCCAGTTACTCCTTAGAGGGTGAGTAAATTCACGTAGTCCTTCTAGAGTTAATACTTGTCACATCTTAATCCTAACTGTAAATTGATTAATTTAAATTACACATTTTTAATTATTTTTACTTTAGATAAAAGAGAAGAAGAATCAGATAGAGACTCTTTGTTGTTTTACTTCGTCATTTTTTACATTATTTAAATGTTTATTTCACAGAAAGGTGACTGTAGTATCTTGTTAGCTTTCTTTTAAAAAAAATGCTTTCGGATATTATTTATACTTTTTTTTCTAAAATAAAAAATGGTCATGGCCCAATAAATTCCTCAAAATCCTCCATAGAAGCCGTTAGTTACGTCAAAATTTAAGTCAAATTTGACTTTTTTTTTATTTATTATGAGGTCCGTGGAAATTTTTTTTAATATATAATTATATTAGGGGAGAATGTTGATAGTTGGTCCGTGTTCCAGGTTGGGTCAGCACAATTGTTCCGTTTTATATAATAAGTTACAAAAATTATTTTTAAGAAAATACTTACTTTAAAAATGGTAGTAAAGATAAATGTTAATTTCCATAACAATAATATACATTTAATAATTTGTGTTTTGAGGTTTAGGCCAAACAATAGGCCCTCAAAACACAAATTATATTAAGATCCAAAAACTGACTTTTAACAAATAAATTTAATAATGTCAAATGTTTATCAATTAATTGTAAAATGTTAAAAAAAACATTAAACTTTGATAATAGCCGGATGAAAAGGAGCTTTCGGGGGCCGAGGAGGAAAAGGAAGTGGAAAAGGCACTGCTGAAACCTTTGCTTTCTATTGAGGACCTGGTCAGATTTTCATCACTTGAAGGAAGCGGAGGAGATTCTTTGAGAACTCTTCTGCAAAGAGGACAGGAAGCAGGAACTGAGTGGCCTGGTTTCGAGCACGCAAATATTGGTCCATACATCCAGAAGATGTTAGCTGCTGCTACACCCTTCAAAGGTAATTTTTATAAATATTGAAATTATTTCTAATTTCTCTATTTTTTATTAATTATTAATTTTAAGTTCACCATGAATTATTAATTTTTTTATTTCTACACACAAAATTTTTTATTTCTTAAAATTATCAAGTAAATTAAGATCGTAGTTAAAACTAAGACTTTTCTAAAAATTTTACAAAAAAATTTAATTTGCCAATTTTTGCAAAATATATCATGAAATAATATCAAGCTTGACTATTTCTTTGATATTTGAACATACAAAATCATATTAAAGAAATGGGAAAAAGCTATTCCAATATTTAACTGATTTGGGTCATTCGTGTTGGTGCACGAAAGTTTAAAAAAATAATGCAAGTTTGTAAGGCTTCAGGAATCGATAGAAGCCAGGCCCGGTCCGGCTGGAAAGGTCGACAACATTTTCTGCCTTTTTATGTTCACATTCTGAGAGAAGCTAAACTATTGCACTGTTAATCCAGATTGACATATAAATGCCCCCTTAGGTTACACGATACCTACATGTTAAAACTTAGATATCCTCTTTTTCTTATATTCATGCATATACATTTTCATGCATATTTGTAGTTTGAAGGAATGAAAGAAAAAACTGTTTTCTTTGTAGGACTTGAATCGCAGGATTACAGGATTCCGGAAGTGATGAGGAGGCTCATGAGTGAGGACAAGAGGCTGAGTAAAGATGTAAATGGTGATCATTCCGGTCATCATCAACAACAAAATCATTCTCAACAGCAAAGCGATCCAATAACAAATGATGATTTTAATCCAAGTATCGAAGAAGAAGCAAATGATAGCGCTCAGGGCAGAGCCATATTAAAAATTCCGTCCTACAAACCGGCCAATGCGCCGGGTTCTAGCAAGAATGGCGAACCAAACTCAGCTGCGTTTGTTCAGGGCTTCGCAGCAGCTGCTGCAGGAAGTGGTGGCGTTGCTGGAAGTCCCGGATTGATAGAGCGTGCGAGTCCAGCATTTTCCGGGACCAGTAGCCCTACGAATTCATTGGTTGGCAAAGGCGTCGGTGTCAACTTTCGAGACGTAATTGCAAAAAGTATAAGCGTTAAATTCCAAGAGGGTCAGTCACCTGGAGGAATCGCGGGTCAAGGTGGATTAGTCCAGTCACCTCATTCAATGATTAATGAGTCTAATCCTTTCAAACGGGGTCGATACACTCCACCTCAGCAACCTCAATCACAGCAGCAGCAGCAAAAATCTCAGTCGCAAGATAACAAGGCGAAACCTGGAACTGGAGGCAAAGGTACAAGACCGAAACGTGGCAAGTATCGAAACTACGATAGAGATAGTCTTGTCGAAGCTGTACGCGCCGTGCAGAGGGGTGAAATGAGTGTTCATCGAGCTGGGAGCTACTATGGGGTTCCTCATTCTACTCTCGAGTACAAAGTCAAGGAGAGGCATCTTATGAGGCCACGAAAGAGGTAACAAATTTTCCAACTACATTCGATTCCCTATTATCGAACAAGTTTCTTATTCACAAATGACTTGTGTAATTCGCAGGGACCAAAAGCAACCGGAGGATAAAGCAAAGGAAACGACAACAGCAACAACAACAGTAACGGCAGCGATGAGGCCTGGAACAACAGACAAAAAACCGCCTCTGAAACCTCAGAAACCGTTCACACAACCAGGAGGAATGCCAAGTCCAAACGGCATAAAGATGCCATTTATGGAAGGCATGCCTCCGATTCCGTTCCCTCATCCGTATAACTTCTGGGGGACAACGCCATTTATGCCATCGCCTTTTATGGGTGGAGGACCCAACGTTCCGGGAATACTTTCTGAGCAGTATTTTGCTACCCAAAGAATGCGTGGACTTCAAGAGCAACAGCGTAATGCAATAGCCCAACAGCAGAGGGATAGAGAAGGAATTAGTCCATCAGCGGAGCCAGGAACGTCCAACTCGAGGGGTGGTTCATCATCCATCGTGAAATCAACGAGAGAAATGGCCGAAAGCCTATACGATGGTACAGGGGCAAACGGCAGTTTTCTGGATAATCTGATCAGATCGAGTCTTGAGACGGGTATTCCAAGGGACCAAAGGGCAATGGCCGAAGCTAGAAGTCAGCAGCAACAGCAAACAGCTTCGCAGCATCACCCAGAGGCTCTCAGTAGTAAATCGCTAATCGATCAACTCTGCAGAAATTCGAGGCGAACGCCCCTGCCGAGGGTGACGCAAGACAGCAGCGAGGACGAGAGCTACAGAAGTTCGAGCGGCAGGTCGATACCCGATCGGCCTGAACGCGTGCCAACTGTCGATTTGAGTCCATCACCTTCCGAGCGAGGGCGACCTGATGACGGCAGCGATCATCTTACCTCGCCACCGACACCTCTACCAGTTTCCAGGGCGAGCAGCAAAGACGACGATCGTGAATCGAAAATCGATCGAAGCAGTAGGGAACGCGAGATCCACAACGGGGGACATGAAGACCGGGACAAAAAGCAATCGCAGCAACAATCGCTGAATCACTACCCGGAACTACACAATCTCTATTCCGTTTCAACTGATAAAAAAAGTGCCTGTGATAGTAAGCTTATAGTAGATCATTCGAGCCAGAAAACTCAGCAACAACAGCAGCAGGAGTGCGCGGCCGTTAGTGGGCTGGTGGTGCAATTGCAGAGGGGATACAACTCCGGCACCAACAGGTCGAGTGATCAACCTCTCAATAACCAGCCACAGGAGCAACGCGGCTCAGCGGTGCTCATGGAAGACTCTGTAGAGCAGTAGATGTCAGTATCTTCTCGTGAAGTGTACAGTAACCACAACAGTAACTACAAAAAAACCAGTAAAGTAAATTTTCGAAGCCCCTGCCCTTAACCTCCATAGGTTCGTTAATCACTTGACGAACACCAAACGAGGATTCTATCTATCTATCTGACTGAATATTAATTCCTTCTTTCCGACGAGACTGCAAGTTTGATGATAAGTGCTCTGATCACTGGCCAGTATCAGCAGTAAGATAGACTTGCAGAATCCTCGTCAACATGTGATGCACTTAACTCGTTTCTTCACTTTCCTGAAAAACTTGAGCTTTTCTTCTATTTCTTACCATTTTCCCCACTATCACTTTCTACACTTTCATAGAAATAGATTCAAAATTTTTTTCAATTAAACTGAAGTATTTAACAACGAGAGAAATAATCAAAAAGTTTTCCTCTTTTATTATAATTATTTCTTCTTTCAATAATTGAGCCCCTGATACTACGCGCGGTCCGGAAAGGATAATACCAGTCAGGTAGCAGTGAGCGCCTCTAGGGCGCTCACTACTACCTGACTGGTATTAACCTTTCCGGACCGCGCGTAGTTGCTATTATAGAATCCAGGGGCTCAATTAATGTATTATAATTGAATTGTTGGATGAAAGTAGGTGGTATAAACTTTTTGATAAAAAGTGGAAGTCTTAGTCACTTGAATTTCAAATTTAGTTTTTATATTGTTTGTAAACAACTTTGGATGTCGAATAAGAGAGTTTATAATAAAAATTGACGAATTTTTATTCAATCTTTCATTGCAATTAAAATGTTTCTTATTCATTAAAAATATTTGAGTTTTTTAAGAAAAAAATATATGTTTCGACAAAAAATTAATAATTTTTTTTATTTAAAAAGAAGAAACCGGTGTAAATTTTAATTAATCATTACAAATTTAGATTGTTTCCAACATCAAATAATTTATCAGTACTTATTGGGTATAACTTTAAATACTAATATTATTGATTTATTAAAAAATCACTAAATTTCAGAAGTGGTAAAAATTTTAAGTTTCTGTATAACAGTCATATTTTCATAATCAGTAGTTCATTAAATGAAAAAAATAAAATTTTGCAAATTATACTTTTTAAAGACTTTTCATGTATAGGTACTGTTTCATAAAAACTAAAAGCTTTCTTAATTTTCATATTCAAATATTAATTCCTGTAAAAAATGCATAACTATTAAAAAGTACATAAAAATCCTTTACTTTGGATAAAAATTTTATATTCTTAAATCAATTGAGCTACACATCATCAAAGTATGACATGTAATAAATAGACCCCGGATCACTTGACGTAAATAAATATATTTAAGAAATATAAGAAACATTTTAAATATTAAAGAAAAAACTTTTCGAAAAAATTATCGTATATTTTGAACACTAAAATATATTCTTCATTGATGTTATTTTCTAAACATAATTAGAAAAATGAGAAAAAATAAATATGCAAAAGTATAGAAAGTGTAAATTAAAATTAACTATTAAAAATAGTAAAATATTCAAATATTAATAGCAGATAATTTTAGAGAAAGTGAAACGAACGAATGAAAGTACATCTCATCAGTGATCGATAGTGGTTTGCATTCCTTGAATCCCTTTTTAAGCTGCAACGTCTCGAGGCAAAAAAAAAAATTATGTGCAAAAGCGTATGCGATATGCTTACATACCACAATACCAAAAATCACTGCGATCCCACCAGTAAATATGCCGCGTGCTTAAACTTTAGAGAATCTTCAGATTTTTGACAAGTCAACGCGGTACGACTCTTTCGATAATGGCAATGTTTACTAAACGAAAAAAAAGGAAAGAAATATAAGAAATGATATTCGAGAACTTACACGCAACACTGATGAATGTTATTTACAATTACTCACAGAAATTTTGCCTAGACTTTGGGATCAAATATAGTATTTCCTGAATTGACCCCAAATTAGGCCGTTTGTTTAGAAAATCAGACAATTTTTTCTATCATACACTTGAGACAAAATACTCTTACATACAACACTATCCAAACGATCATTCCAACACGATTTGTATACTGTAACCCTTTTACCTGAGGTGCCCTGAAATATTCAAAACGACCACAAAACTGGTAAATATTAGGTAGCAAAATAAAAATAAAAACTTTGGCGCGTATATGCGACCTTTGATCGTTTTACCTACGATGGGCAGATAAATAAATTAAACACATCATATTTTTTTCTCTATCAATGTAAAACTACCTAACGTAAACTTACTTACTATTAACATTACTTAATTTTTAAGGAAGCAACATAATTATATAAGAATAATATATTATATATACATATATTTTTGGTCATTACGAAAAAAAAGATTAGCGACGATGATAATACGAGCCAAGACTTTTATTGGCGCGCGAGACGTTTTTTCACATGGCGACAATATTCTCTGATATCTCAGTTTTTCATGACGGTCTTTTTAAAACAAATCTTCGCATCCTAAAGTTTTTAAGCTATTCAAGTTTGAAATTGTCCTTTATAGTCGACGAATACACGTTTCGCAAATTCGATATTCCGAAAAAAATAATTAAGAAAAAAAAATAAAAAAAAGTACTTTATAAATTTTGAAACAAAAGTCTAACTCGTGTTCCTTTATGTAAAGACTGCATAGAAAAGAATCAAAAAAAATGTAAAAAATATTTGTAAAAATTGGAGAAAATCTATAATGATGAAAAGAGTAACTTCCACTAAGAAGAAGTAAAGAATGAAAAAAACTATGTAAATTTTCCTTATACGATACGCAAACTTGAAAAACGTTCCGAATTTTATTATAAAAGAAGTAAAGTCGTGATTGTACTATTATGATATTAACAATACAGTAAGAATTATTAACTATGAATAAGGGAAAGCGTGTGTGTCACATTAGGGCATCATTGTTGTAGACTTTTTCATAGTTAAGCATTCTTATTTAAATATATATTATATAATTTCTAATCTAATATAAATTATAGGGAACATTTCTCAAATTGGTGTCTTTGTTTTTGTAAATATCTATCTTTCAGTTGTGGATTTAATATAATTTTAATATTCATTGACGATATTTAATAGAAAGCGAATGTGGGTGTAATTTAATCATTGACGTGTACGCTTAAACTAATTGTGATTTCCTTGTCATTTTTAAAGCCGCGTGTATTCGTCGACCGAAGGATATGCTTCTGTTCTACTGGAGCTGTATAAAGTCTCGCTGAAGAATAAATTATGAGGAAAATAAGAATTAAGAAGAAGTACAGCCACGAAATACTGAGAAAAAAGAATTAAATTAAATTTAGTCGCGCGCTCTAAATTCCGGATCTCCTGATCATTCTTACGTGTTAAGAGTCCACTTTTTGATACGAATGCAAGTATTCTACCATAGCACAAGAGCGTTATGTTCTTACAAAAAAACTACTTAAATACTTCTCACGGATTTACATTTTATAGAGAATTGCGTCCCAATAATTGACAATTAATACATTTCTTGGCTCATCAATTCTTTCCCAAAGAAATATTTTCTTTTACTTTAATTACTTTGTGTTATTTTTATATTACTACAATATATAGCTTTTGATAACTGGCATCTTTTATAAATACAAATTCAAATGTATAAATTATATTTGAAAAACTAGAAAATAATCTTTAAGTAGTTATTGAATTTTTTCCAAATACAAATTTAAAAAAAAAATTAATGTCGATATCATGTAATGAAAAATCAAAATATTAAAAAAATTTTTTTGTTTATTAATTGTTAGATGAAATATTTTAGTTTTAGTTAAAGACAAGGAATATTCCATTAATAAATAAAATTTCTCAATTTCTTACTAAATAAAACTTCTTTCAGAATTATTTTTTTATACAATCTCATTATGTGAGGAGGTATTATTTTATATTTACTTTAGTCAACAAATTATTATTTAATTAAATATTTGTGAGGTGTGTAGAAATAATTGACGAACAAGGAAGATCGTTTAATTGGGTAGTAATTCTCAAATTCCTCTTAACCGGAATTAATTGAAATAATAAAAATGGGGCTCTCCGCAATAAGATGGACGCGCGCTTTAAGTTATACGAGTGGCAAAACAAAAAGTCTGAAACGCTGTAAAATTCCCGTTGGACCAAAGAGCGACAGAAGTTAATAATGGGGTTATAGGGAAAAAGTTCGACGCGTAGAAAAAGTTTCGCTAGGATTAAAAACAGGGGAAAAAGAAAACTATATTAGAAAAAAATCAGCATGGTTCTGAATCGAATAGGGCAGATCGAATTGCGTAATCGATAACAACGGATTTGAGAAGATTAAACAAAAACGAAGAAAAGCTGTTTTCTGTTTTCCGTAAAGTGAGAATCGATGCACTCATTATTGACTCTTATACGACTGAAATTTTAGGCTGTACATAACGTAAGGCATGTATGTTCGGTGTTAAAAAATCCCTTACTATGAAAAAAAAATTATAATACAAAAAAAGCATATTACGACAAGGCTACTCTCTTGGTGTTTTGGACATAAACTAAATTTACATATTTAAATGAAAACAAAAAAAAAGCGCAAATTATTGAGTGTAAACGTTAAGGTCTCTTAGGGTTAATACAATTTTAACAGAAAACTAAAGCAGCAAAGCAGAACAAGCACTAATCATGATTGTGTGTAATCGTATTTAAAAAAAAACTCCCTGCGAGAAAACAAAATAATTCACTTTCGGTGTATTCTTAAAATTTCTTCAAATACCTTGGAAAATGGTCTTTATTCTAAATGTTTATCCGGGTGTATTTCAAGGAAAAAATATTATTATACACACACGTACCCTATAAACTAACACCTCTTATTCTTGACCTTTACCTATTTACCTGTACTCGCAACCCTTCTGGCCCTCTTCACCCTGAAGCCTAAAATATTTTAAAGAACAAATTTAAAGTTAGATGTGAAAAATTATATTATTATCGAACATCATCATGATTGTCGTTATTAATTACGATTACGATTTGTTGCGACGATCGGTACAGTACTATTTATATCATGAGTCGGATCTGTGACGGTTATCACTTCTTCGTGACTTTTTGAAATCTTTTTTTTTCTTTTCAAAAACACAAATAATCTAATTTCATTAAATAGATTATTTAAAAATTAATTCATAAATCTTTTATGGGGAACACGGAATAGCTTTCTTAAATATTGAATAATTTCTTTAAATCAAGACATTTAAAAACAACATTTTTTCTATCTAGATATTTAAATTGGGCACTATCATTTTTTAAAGCCATTGTAAAAGCAAACATTTCTGCTAAAATTAAGAATAATTTATAAAAAAAAAATAATTTACGTTTGCAGAAATTTAAAAATATTTTTAACTTGAAATTTTTAATTGAGTAATAAAAACAAAAAAAGTTCCAAAAAAACTTCTATTCTGAATCGAAACTTTTTAAGTTTTAAAGAATTATGAAAATAAATATTTATCACGTCTGAATAAAGCG